GTCAGGGAATGTGAAATTCTAAAACTTGTTGAAAAATAAGCTCTTATCCAAGTTTGTTGAAATAATGTTTAGCCTATTTTATGTGAGGTAACAGTAAACATAGCATAACCATGACACCCATAACATAGATACCTTTAAAATTTTATCGTTCATGATAAAACGATGATAAATGGAGAGATTCCAGTACTGGTAGTTTTTGAAAGGTATGGATTTTCTTGTGCCTTTCTTTTTTTTTTTTTTTTTTTACTTATTGATGAATTGTCATGAGCTTTTTTAGCTGCAGAAGTCATCATATAGGAATACTGCCAATACATATATGGATGGTTCATCTTCAGTGATCTGGAAAACATGCTATTGTCACTACAATCATGAAGTTCCCAATGAGGTGGGAACCCTAATGGTGTGTCTGTACTGAAAGGTGCAGCTAGAGTCTGTTTGCATTTAAGACAGACAATTTTGCATGATCATCAGATCCAGATGATCTGACTTGTAATACAGGTCAGCAGTGGCTTAGTTGTTTGTATCACACATATTTTTATCTCATCTGATGAACATGTGGAATTCTCTGATTTTTCTCAAAATTGTAATGAAGTGGGTTTTTTTGCCACTGGAAGTTTATGCTGAGAAAGTTTAAGAATGGTGTAGAAGTATAAAATCAGTACTAAATACTGGACAGGTAAAATTATCTACTGTATTGCTCATAAGTGCATTTGCCCCTTCTGTCCTTTAGCCTTTCAGCATGCTTAAAAAAGGAGAAACAAATTTACAGAAACAATTGCATACAGGTTTAAAAAACCCCCAACATGTTTCTCTGGTCTGAAGCTTCGTATCAGGTTTTATTTTGGTCTTAACTGTTGTTATTCCAAGTTTTGTTAAGGAGAGAAGTGCAAGCTTATTAAGTCTAACAGCTTTTCAAAGCAACAAGCTATGGCTTTATTAAATTTGCAGAACTGCTGCTTGGCTGCTAGTTATCAGATGTTTTGCTGTAAAGGTGAACTGGTAATGTTTTCCTTCATCTGTGCATAACTTTGGAGTTAAGTTACTCCTAGAGTTTCATAATTTAAAATGTTATTTATGCAAAATCTTGAATGATTGGCAAAAGATGAGTTCGTATGAAGTCTGGGAATGTCACACACAATTGAAGGTGAAAGAAGGCTTGAAGATAACTGGGTGTTCTCTAGCCTCTGGAAGAACTATAGTGTAGTACACAACTGTTGCTTTATAAGAGTTGGACTCATGTATAGTAATTCCAGTGGATGATCATGACATATTTGTGAAGAGAGCCTATATTTAGTGGCCTTTAGACTACAGAGAATTTCTCCTCTTGGTCTGCTTGCCACTGCGCCTGTTTGCATGCCCAGCCAGCAGTGAGATTCAGTACATATTCCCAAGATGGCATTATACATAGGGTATGGTGGCCACACAGACAGTCACAGAGAAAAAACATTCCCTTTACTGGCACCATGTAAAAACACAGATGGTACTGAGGTGACTAAGAATACAAACAGCTTGATAAAGTTCTTCTCCAGCTGATGAGAATTGTACGTTTGCTAGTGAAACACGTGCACCAACTCTCTCCTGATTGACAGGCTTATGAACATTCACTGACTGAAATACTAATACAGAATCTACATTCATCCAACACTGGTGCCTAGGTCTGAGGTCTCTTACTTGATCGCTGGCTTAGGCCTTCGTCTTTCCAGGTACAGGTCTGCTTATAGTTGTCTGACTCTCAAGTTTCCTTGCACATCACACCTATGCAGAATAGAGGACAAAGTCACAAAGGAAATATTACAAGAAGGACTTAACGTAGGACAAACTGCAGTGAACAAATGCAGGGCTGTGCCAAACAAACCTGCTGTCTTGCAGCTTACATTAATGACTCCTTTTTGTGCTGCTTTCCTCTCCATTTTCTGTTCCTTGTTCTGTCCTGATTCACCTTCCCTGCTTTTGGCACTTCCCGTGAATGTTCCATAAAAATGATTGCACACATCCACAAGTCCCTGCAGACATCCTAAAGTAGGTTTGTTCCTTCCCAGGAGACAAATGAGGATGTTGTTTACCACTTCTTATCTGTTCTAAAGTTCTGGTTGACCTTTTCAAGGCCATGTCTGAGTGGCTTCTTCTGTGGCCCATCAGTCAGTGGCTTAACAGAGATAATAGCAAAAACCAGAACTCTTTAACTCCTGTTCATTAGGTGCATTTCCTGTCCTAGTCTCATGCTGAAAGGCTACTATACAAATACCATCACAAAACTAGTAGCCTTACATTACAGAATCAGTTAGGTTGGAAGGGACCATAGGAGGTCATCTGGTCCGACCTCCCTCCTCAAGCAGGGCTGTCCTAGAGCACATGGCTCAGGATTGTGTCCAGATGGTTCTTGATTATCTTCAGTAAGGGAGAATCCATAACCTCTCTGGGCAGTCTGTTCCAGTGCACAGTCAACTACATAGTCAAGAAGTTCTTTCTCATATTCTGGTGGAACTTCCTGTGCACATTCCCCATATCCTTCCAATGTTGCCCATTGTCCAGCCCTGCTATTTCTCCTCACCTATTTTTACCAACAATGGTTCATAAAGTAAATGTATATATTTTTTCTAACTGTGGTTGCTTTATCAGCAATCAAGAAATGCAGTGCCTTTCACCTCAAAAAGGAAGGGGGACATCATTTGCTATGTACCTTGTGTGAAGAAGTTCTGCTCTTGGGGTACCAGGAATTTTCTTACTCACTGTATATGAGGTGCAGGGTGTTCAGATGCCCTACTGGTTTTCCTACTGCTTGCCTTTTTATGCATTAAGTCTTCTAGCTTCTTTAGTTTTTTTTGACTCATAAACATTTGACTCTATCTGCTTCTGGTCGAGAAAATGATGACTTTAACTCTGTCCTACTTTTTGACTGGACATGACTCTCTCAAACTCTTAAGTCATAAAGCTTGTAGCATAAATTGTAAATACCCGTAGACAATGACTTGAAAAAAAAGCCATTCTCATATTTCAGTTAATTTAGGTGCTCAGTAAAGTGCTGCCTTTTGCTACTATATTGGATTACACTGAGTTTTAGTTGGCATCCTGGTATTGCTAATGTTTAGTCAGAAGCAAAGGCATAACAACAGGACCAGACCAGAGCTGTTACATGCTATTGGCCAAAATAATCCACTCATGTGGAATAGGTATTCAAAATCCTGGAATACCCTTATATACGTTGAATATATATTTGTATGTGTTGCTCTAAAGTGAGTTAATCCACCTACTCTGTATGTATTCTGTGTATTTTGGTTTTGTTCCTGTGGGATGGTTGTTACCTCGAAACAGGTTTTAGTTTCAACTTTTATTTACCTCTGTTGGAATCTGTGTGATTGCTAACCTTCTGTGTTGCAGCTGCTCATTTTTTTTCACAGTAAATACTATAACCAGGCAGTGAAAAAAATTGGATATTCGCTTTCATTAATAACTGTCAAGATTTTCTAAGAAGAACAGGTGGCAATCTGAAAGTTTCTGTAGCATGTTACTATAAAATTTTACTTGATGTTTTCCATCTTGCCATAGTGCAACAGCACAAACAGCTTGAAGGAAATGAAAGCCCATCAAACCCGTGAATCCAATGTGCAGAGACAATTCACATGTAAGATTTATATGGGGTTTGAATAGGGAACCAACTTTGCAATTGTACGAAGCCTAAACCAGATGAAATATAACTTTTTATCCTGAAGGTGATTGTTGGCAAGTTTTCTGACAAGAAGACTCAGAAAAAAAATCAGTTTTCAACTCTTTAACAAGGTGTGGGTTATGCTGAAGTTTCAGTCATTTTGTGCCTTGTTACACTTAAATGTTAACCAATTTCAGGCTCTCAGTGTCATTTATGACAATGCATAATAATTGCAGATATGTGGATTACAGAAATAATTTGATGCAAAAAATGGTGCTTTTTTTCTAATCTGTAATGGATTAAATAATATTTTCAGTTAATGCTCTTAGCAAAAAATGAGAGATTATAGGGCATTAGTAGGATAGCAATCCCATTTGAAAAGTTAAACTCATATTTCAGCTGTGATTGTCTGCCCCAACTCAATAAATTCCCTATGCAACAAGCAACATAAAACATTGTCTTAAAACACTATATAAAAAGTCTTTCAAAGTGTTCATTAATTTAGTAAGTTCTCTTTTGTCCTCAAACAATAACATCAGTCCATTTGCTGTATCAGTGTATTCGGGTAATCAATAATCCTGTTATATTTGAACAATTTGTCATTTTTCATTGTTTGCACCAACATGTAAAAGGCTTTTAAGTTGCTGTTCTTCTGTTGAAAGACAAGAGTTTCTGCAGGTTACTCTTATGTCCTCTTTAGAGGTATCAGTTTTTATGTACTGGTGTAGTAATAGTACACATTAAAGAGCAATACTGCCAAAAGCAGTGAATTAGAAATGTCTGCTTGCTGTGTTTTTTAGTGATGAGGGAAGTTGAATATATTGCCTGGCAGTTTTCAGCCATGGTCTAGTACCAGTTTCTGAATAAAGAAGCCTCCACCAGCACAGGGAGCTGGGGCCATAGTTCCCCCATGGGGACTGTGGTGGCTGAGGTACATACAAGGAATTGGTAATTAGGTAACTGAGCTGGATGGAAACTGAAGGTAAAAAACAAAGACAAAAACTTCTCTCCCTTCCTACTGAGAATTTGCCTCAAAATTTAGGATTTTGGGGGAAGGGGAGAAAAAAAAGCAGCCTGTATTTTGCAGCTTTGCCTTATTTTCTCTGTAGAAATCCATCTTTCCAGGAACCTCTGTTTCCAGGAAAATGGATTTCTTTTCAATGAACATATCATATGAAAAATATTTGACATCTTTGGCATGAACTGAAAAAAACCCAACCCCACTGCACTTGACTGTAACATGACTTGAGACATTAAAATATGATGACTACTGCAAAAAGTCAGTTTCTTATGTGAGGT